ACCAGAGCCTCAGACAGGATGAGATGCACTTGTAGAGCACCACATTCTGATTATTTTAGCTTATAGCTTTCTTAAACATTAATAAACTATCTTATATTGAAAACATAAACTGGCTTATAACAAACATTAATAAAATGGCTTATTTGGGGAAAATACTTTAAGGCAAGAGTGAAAAAAATCAGTTTATATTCTCTTTAGCTTATGATTTTACTGTTCTATAAACACTTATATGCTAATTGGCTTAAAACCAGAAAACCACAGATATTTCTCATTTGATAAATTCATCCCAAGTTTATTTAGTGAGGCAGAAACTGAGAACTGGTCTGCAAGCACTTGCCCCTTGACAAGCATACAAAATATGCTTAACTAGCTCTGAGAAGCTACCCTTTAAATATATGGAACAGCCACCCAGAGACCATGGAAAAAATGCTGTCAAATGTCACAAAAATTAATCCAAAGCAGCACTAAATTCAGGTCTTTGACCATACATGTATTTTAAGCAAATTACATTTCCAACATTTCAGTCTGTGCTTTTCTGGTTATCTATGTAAGGAGGCTATGTTCAATTGAATTACACTACTAAGACAGAACCTGTACTACAGCTCATTAGATAACGTTGTCATTAGTAAAAAAAACCTGAGGCTAAGAATTTGTGTACTGAACCAATAGGAATAGAGCTGGAACTGCAGTTTGGTTAAAGGATAAAGACACGTACATGAGTTTTTATTAGAGATGAACATCAGAGAATTGTCGATATCTTCTTAAAATTAAGAATAAAGTAAAATGTGCTGTACTTTACTGAAGGTTACAGTACAGTTCCTTTCCTATAAGAGTCACAGAGATGACAGTCCAGAGATCTCATTTTTAAATTTACAGCCTGTTCCTTTGGTTATCTTTAGAATGTTCTCAGAAGTTCAGAAAAACCCAATTTTTAGAACTTAGCAATATTAGTCCTTGCTCATGATGAAAGAGTAAGACATATGAGCAACGCATCTCTTCACTGTTATAAGGCCTATCCATTCAAAACTCATTTTGTAAACCATGAGTGATGTTCTACAGTGCATCAAAAGACACTATCTACTCAAATATTCATGAAAGGTCATACCCTATCTTCTCTGATGTGAAAGAAGCAAGACCTGGTAATAACAAAGCAGATGGTAATCTGGTCACAAAACTAAAAATTTCAGACAACAGTACATAAAGTGTATAAAAATGGCATAAAGGGTTTCTGTTGCAGGCCGTACAAGCACAAACAAGTACTATGAAAACCCTGAATCCATCGCACCATATTATCACAACTGAATTCCTACTAAGCCAAGATATTGTATCGATTAAAAAAAAATGGAACATGAGAATTCCCTTTATAAATTTAAATGTTCAAGTAAGAAGCCACTATTCTGTATTAATCTAGACGCTCTGGTTCACAGCTTCTTGAAGTTAGAAGTACAGGATTTTGTACTGGTACTAATTTAAGCAGTCGACATCCCCTAAACTGTGGGTATTCACCTTTGCCATTGCTTTCTACCACAAACTAAAGCTATATGCAAAGGCTTCAAGACTTCAGATTGACACCACTACTTTAGAGCCTCAGAAAGGTTTAAAAGATTGTCCTTTGTAACGTTCAATAGCAAATTATATTTTCCAGGCAGATTTTGAAAACCACTGCTATTATCTTCCAAGACAGCAAGTGTCTATTTTAGGCATAATTTGAGAATAGGCTATTGAGCATTTAAGTGTAGAGATATAAAATTCCTTGTCTAACATAAACCAGTGCAATCCTTAATGGAAGAACAATATGAACATGACAGCATTTTGGCTTAGAAAATATCAATAGCATAAGAAATCTCCACAGTGGGGAATAAGTTAGACTTGTTGCTTCCGTCTTTGAGCACTTGGCCAGCAACCCACTGTAATGGGAGCTACACTTTCGCGCAGAAGCAATTTAAGAACATTGCTAATTCTTCATTAGCAAACTGCAGTTCAGAGGTCAAAGAAGCAAGTCAGACCACTTGTGAAATAAAGCAAGTAAGTTATGCTCCACCTAAGCCTCATATATGTAAAAAGACAGGGGTGAGTTCAAGAGAGACAACTTAAGATAGCATAGTGAGACAGAATACTGAAGTGGCTGAAACAAGGGGCCCTATTTAAGTTCGTTGTCCTAGAGTTCTAATATTACAGAGTTGTAATGAATTAATTTCTCTGTCCCAGAAAATCAGAGGATTCTTCACATAAGGTATGAAACCTCAGAAGATAAACAGAAAGAATGGCAAGTACCAGCATTCTTGTAGAGCCTGGCTTAGGAGTTAAGCTTTCTTCTAGCCTTGTAATTTTGGACATGCATACAATGATAACTAAGACAGTATTAACAATGAACTTGTGTGAATATTAAGGATGATGCTGTCATTATCGATTCAATGGTCTCCAAGTGTGCACCTATCTAATTTTGTGTATACCTTTCCATATTTTTTCCAATTTGTACACTCTACTTCAACAGCACATGGAGGAATTTCATACATCGATAGAGAATTTAATTGTTTCTAATAAACTGGGGTGAGAGAAAGACAAAACAAGCCATATGCTAATTATGGCTGATTATGAGAACATCAAATCTATACCTGATTTTTCATTTGAGTATAAACTGAATTCATGTTTCCACATTTTTTCCCATGGAACCCATGAAATATTTTTCCCATGGAACCCATGAGATATTGATCACTGACTAGACAAATTCTAAACAAGATGGAACAGAAACAGCCTATCTTGTGGGTATTTCTAAAGTTTACACAACTAATTTTCTATGACAGAAATCTATCTCATCCAGGCAATCAGAAATGCATTCTTACAACACAGATGCCAGATGAGACAGTCTCTCCCTACAACGCATGACATTTGAACACCTTGTTTGTCTACACTTCTGACAGAGAAACTGGCCAGTCCATCTTACTGGCTGAACAGCCCTTTATCAGTGTTGGTTGAACACACTTTCAATCCAACAGAACAAATGCAGAAGATAAAGATGACTAATTTAAGAGATTCACATTAGCATATTCTTCTGTCTGGAAAGATTCCAGAGCTCATTACAGAAACATCCTCCTCTCTGAGGACAGTATGTAGACATCTACATATCAAAATGGCTTGAACAAAGGATTTTTCTCATAACCAAGTCAATTTGATCCCTCCTGGGTAAAGATGTTAACTCACACAACGCTTTATTTTTTTGAATTTTTACACTTTTATCATTTTAGAAGATTTCCTGCTTTTTACCTCCAATTCCAAACAATCTATAATTCCCTTTGTAATAAAGCAGTCTGGCTTTTTAAGTACTGTTCTGTGCCGGGGTCTTTTACATGGTGCCTGTTTATGCACTATACTAGCTAATGTAACCAGAATAGCACAAATAATATTGCTATAAGAGAAGGTTAATAAAAACTTTTAAGCTGCTTGGAAAACCTAGATGATGGCAGTTTACCAAGGGTAAACAAAGGGGAGGGCTAGGTAATTGGCAAAGAATGGAACAGAAATTTGGGAAATTTCATCCTACAGTCTCTAGATACCTATTTTCAAAGTCCACCAATGTGCAGGGTTTCTAGACTATGTACCAAAAACACCAGAAATGTTTCAGATATGTGAATGCATATCTGATTGCCAAACCATTACGGGGTAATAAGTCTTGCATAGCCTCAACATATTTATTTTAGTCTACTAAAAACCTATTTAAATATAGCAAAAGTACACTACTTCTGATCTGTTGCATAAGTTCTCTAATTGGTGTGCCAGCAACAGGAAAGCAGGATGGGCCTTCTCCCTCCGTAGAGATATATAAGCTTCTGAGTTCAGTTGGGAAAGGGTCGCTAGCTACTGCAGTTGAGTAGTCATTCTGTTTAATGCTGTGTTGGAATGAAATCACACATAATTGGGAATGTATAGGATCAGTTTCAACCTTGCACTACAAACTGAATCTCTGGCCTGCTGAAATGATTAACAGACATCTAGTTCCTTTTTGTCCCTAAGAATGAATGCTTACAGTGCGATCCTAAACAGAGTTATACTCTCCTAAGTCCACTAAAGTCAATGCGTTTAGAATGGTATAAACCTGCTTAGGACTGCACTGTTTTTCACACCTCTCATAGGTGAGGGCACCATACATTAATAGTTGGCCATTGTAACTAACACGAAGTACTCTTGGACAATATAATAGGACAAAGATCACACCAAGCAAAACAGATTATAATCCTGTACGACAATGTTAGTCGACAGGAGAATGTTTGCCCCAACCAATGTTCCCTCTAAGCTGTGGAGTCTTGTGAGCAAAAAATCTACTTTGTGAGCTACTGGCATTAAAGTTGTGAGCGAGTGATTGGGCTGCTGCATCAATCAGTTTGCTCTGGAGCCCTCCTTCCCAGGCTAGGACAAAAATGTGTGAGCTGGAGGCTAAAAAACTGTGAGCTAGCTCACACTAACTCAGCTTAGAGGGAATACTGGCCCCAACATTCTCTTCTGATCTCCTTTTCAAACACAATTTCTTCAGATCTGAGGTTCAACATTAACCCTCTTATCCAATCCAGCAGCCTTTAAAAAAGTCATAATTTTCTACTTTGAACTGGAGAATGTTGCCTGTGATGCTGGAGACTGCAACAGTTATGTTGTTCTATGGACAGTTGAATAAAATATATCATCTTCCTTATTTTGTTGAACAAGACATTAAAGTTATACCTCTAATTTCTGAGACAAAAAGGTTATATGAAACGGCATAAAATTGAGTAAATTAAGTAGAAACTGCAACCAAGGTTGCTGAAAATATCAGAACCATTATACTACCACCTTCATTTGCATTTTATTTTACTTTGTACTACAAAAATATAACTCTCAATATGCCATAATACACTTTAAAGTTTGAAATGTTTCACTTGGCAACAGCATTTAAAACAGTAGCAAACACTTCCTGAAAGGCACAGCTTTCCAACAGGAGGGTAAAACACACGTATCACTTTATTACCTACTTTTTTTGTGTCCTTTGTACTGTTGTGACTTTGACTTTTTCTTCTGCTTTGATGAACTTGACTGGCTATCTCTTGATGCTGAAATATTAAAAAATGTCTGTTTTAACTCAACTTTTGCAGGGCCTGGCATATGCCCAAGTAGATTGTCTTAGGAAATACATTTCTTTGTGGAGAGGGAGTATATGTAGGCAAATATACTTGGTACAGTTTTAGGATTAAACCAGCTGACACTGCTGACATTCTCCCACAGATTTTTTAAATGGCGCATGATTACAGCCTTCTGACCACACAGGAATTAAAGTGGTTTAAAATAAAAATTAAGAATTCTGTTGGTACAGTAGCAAGCTTTTGCATGAAGTATTTTACTTCATGAAGAACAGTGATTCAACAAGTAAATTCTTTACTACACATACACCCCAGCTGGTCCATTCTGAGTTTTACCATCTTATAACTTCAACAGCCGCCCTAAACAGCCTGTAGCAATCCTGTTTTGACTGGAATAACATAAGGAATCAATAAGAAGACTGAAATACATAAGGAGATAAACCAGAGCACAGGGAACAAGTATCATATGACTGTATACAAAAACCAAGTCTAAGTCAGTGAAAAATTCAGGAGAATAATTAAAAAGTGATAAAACTGAATACTGTCAGGAAGGACAAACTAGAAGGTACTTCCTTCAGTCACGTTGCCTCTGAGCTCCTG